ATTTAGTCATGAAAAACTGCCAGCTCTTCAAATGAGATCAGCAGGAAACTGTGATCTCCTTGACTGGGGTCATTCCCCTATCCCCACTGGAGCTTAACAGGCAAGAAGGGCAGAGCTGCTTGGAAAAATTAGCATCTTTGTGCCTGAGGGGGCAGGCTTAATTTCAGGCAGAAGATGGAAACACATCACAGCCTTATCAGTAAGAGCAGCAAACTTAGTGATGTAGTTTTGGAACGTAGGTGAGTCTTGGTGGGTGAGGTCCGGAGCCAACCATCAAGAAAGATTCTTGAGATGTCCTTGGTGCACAATGGTGATTTTATTAAGCCATGGGGACAGGACCCATGAACAGAAAGAGCTGTTGCACTGGAGCTGTGAGAGACAAATAATAATATACTTAGGAGTCGGGGGAGGTAAGGAAAAGGGAGGTTTCCAAAGGACTTTCATGTTAAAAGACTCACAGGATACCAGGGGCCTTACCATTTTTAAGGTAGTTTTTCCCTCTAGTCAGGCATTAACATTTAAAAAAAAAAAGATTTTATTTACTTCTTTGACAGAGATCACAAGCGGGCAGAGAGGGAAACAGGCTCCCTATGGAGCAGAGAGCCTGATGCAGGGCTTGATCCCAGGACCCTGGGATCATGACCTGAGACAAAGGCAGAGGCTTAACCCACTGAGCCACCCAGGCACCCCTAGTCAGGCATTAACATTAAGAGGGTTGTGAGCTGCCTGCAGGAATATCACATGTGTCCCACCCAGTGGGGAAGGGGAGTTACAGAGTGTCATCTCATGCTTTGCCCCCAGCTTGTCTTCTGCTCCCTCATCAGTAGGACGGGGAGAGGGGAAAACTCAAAGCTCTTCTAGTCTTAGTTTATGGACACAGTTCAGGCAAGCAGAAGACCCACCAGAAATTTAGATGTGAGGTCCTGGAAATAAAAGAGCCACTGAAAGGCTGGAAAAAGCTTTTCATACGTAGGTCTCTGTCTAGAGCGCTCTTCACATGCACAGGAAGAACGGTGAACGGTGGGAGCCCAGCGGAAAGCTAAAGCCCAGCTAATTCGAAAACTGACTGAACTCTGAATGACTTCCCAGGCTGTGACAGTGACAAACGTCTCCAGACATTTCCAGATATCCTTTAGCAGGAATGGGGGAGGAATATTGCTCACAGTTGAGAACCACTGCTCCAGTTATTAAGGAAATAACATTTTTTAAAAAGCCTTAAAAATGAAGAGTGGAATTAAAATGGTCTACTAGAAACTTTTTAACGTAAGAGATGGCAGTAAAGGAGGAACAGAGGAAAAATGATATAAAGCCTAAAGAAAATAAATTAATAAGAAAATATTATAAATTAAATGATAATAGAAATAGCAAAATAGACAAGAAAGTAAGTAGCAAAGTGACAGATACAAATCCAATAACATTAAGGTGCCTGGTTGGCTCAGTCGGTTAAGCATCTGACTCATGATCTCAGGGCCATGGGGTTGAACCCTGTACTGGATCCAGGGAGAGTCTGCTTAAGGTCTGCTCCCTTTCCCTCTGCCCCTCCCCCCATTCATGTGCATTCTTGCTCTCTCAAAAAAAAAAAACCACAACAAACTAACGACATTAATAACTACATTATTGTAAATGAACTAAACTTTCCAATCAAAGGTAGAAATTGTGAGACTGTATAAAAAACAAGACCTAACTATACAGTCTATAAGAGACATGTTTTACTTGTTTGTTTGTTTGTTTGTTTGTTTTTAAGTAAACTCTACACCCAATTGTGGGGCTTAAGCTCACTACTCCGGCATCAAGAGTTGCACACTCTACCAACTGAGCCAGCCAGGTGCCCCTAGAAGAGACATATTTTAGATCCCCAAACACAAACAGATTGAAAATATGAAGATCAAAAAAGTTTTGCCATACAAATAGTAATTGTAAGAGAACTTAAATAGCTGTATTAATCAACTTTAAGAATACAAATATTACTAGAGATAGAAACATTGTATAATGTCATTATACCTTTAGAAGGATAAAATTGATAATGTATATGCACCTAACAACTGACCTCCAAAATAACAGGAAGCAAAATGAACAGAACTGGAAGGAAAAACAGACCACTCAAGAATTATAGCTGGAGATTTAAGTGTTCCTCTCTTGAGTATTGATAAAACAGAAAATTAGTAAGATAAGGAGACTTGAACATTATCAACCAACTTGACCTAACCAATAGCTATAGAACACTCTACTCAACAAACAGAATAACTTTCTTAAAAAAAAAAAAAAGACTTTATTTATTTGTTTGTCAGAGGGAGAGAACACAAGCAGGGGTAGCATCAGGCAGATAGAGAAGTAGGCTCCCCAGTGAACAAGGAGGCTTAGGTGGGGTTCAATTGCAGGACCCTCAGATCATGACCTGAGCTGAAAACAGATGCTTAACTGACTGAGCCATCCAGGTGTCCCTAGAATAACTTTCTTTTCAAGCATACATGAAACATTCTCTAGAGTAAATAATATATGAGGCCATAAACAAATCTCAGTAAAATTTAAAAGACTGAAGTCATACAAAAGAGAGGAATTAAATTGGAATTCAACAAGAAAAAATTTGAAAGCACCCCAAATATTTGGAAATTAAGACACATCTGAATAATCCTTAGGGCAAAGGAAAAAATCACATGGGAAATCAGAAAGGATCTTGAGTTGAGTGAAATGAAAACAAAATTTATAGGGTGCCACTAAAGCTGTGTTTATAGGAAGTTTTATAGCATTTCACGTGCTCGGTATCATTAATAACAGGGAAGTACAAATTTTTTTTTTAGGAAAATACAAATTAAAACCATAAAGGGATACCACTGCATGCATAGTGGTGTGGCTATAATCCAAAAAACTGACAATGCTAAGGGTTGTTGAGGATATGGAGAAAACAGAACTCTCACATATTGCACATTGTTGATGGGAATGTATAATGATAAAGTGTCTTTGGAAAAACAGTTTGGCAATCTCTTAAAAAGTTAAAAATATATGATACAGCAGCTCCCCTCCAAGGTATCTACTCAAGAGAAATAAAAGCATGTGTTCACATGAAGGCTATTTGAATTTCACAGTAGCATTCTTTATATTAGTTCCAAACTGGAGGCAATCCAAATGGCCATCACTGGTGAATGGAGAAAATGTGGTATATCCATATTATAGAATACAATTCAGCAATAAAAAAGAATGAACTCTTGAGTTATGCAGCAACATGGATAAACCCAAAAACATTATTCTAAGTGGAAAAAAAAACAGACATAAAAGATTACATGTTGTAGGATTCTATTTATATAAAATTTCTAGAAAAGTAAATCTATAGAGACAGAAAACAAATCCGTGGAAGTGGGAACTGATTTCATGCACAAGAGAACATTTTGGATGAAGAAAATTTTTTCAGTACTGGATTGTGTGATGGTTGCACAAATTGTATAAATTTAGTAAAAAAATTATTGAGTTATACAGTTACATAAAATTCAATAAGTGAACTCTGTAAATTATATCTCAACAAAACTATTTTAAAACAAAGGTAAGTATCTCTATCTTGCAAAGGAAACAACCCAAAGACCAAAGCTGATTGATTCTTAGAAATGTCTCCAAACTCTTCTCAATTCTCTGCTGTTAAGAGAGGCCTGGGTTCCTAAGAAAAGGAGAATTCCTGGAGTCTTCATAGACACGTCCCTATCATCTGACCTAAAGATTCAGCAGTATAATTATTAAACCTGTCAAATACCAGAGACTATAAAAGAAGAAGCTATTGCTAAAGATCCCCCAAAAGAATTGGTTTATTCTGTGTGGCAGAGACTGCCAGCTTTCCCACAATATACATTCTCTCCTTTATCCACCATAATTGGATTTTTAGCTGAATCCATGGCTACTCAGAATGAGAACAACCTTCCTTGCAGCTAGGTCTGACAATGTGACTAAATTCTGGCCAATGTACTTGAGCACAAGCAAGATGTGCAAAACATCTGTGCTGTACCCTTATAGGATAGAGCCCTGTCCTTCTTTTCCCCATTCCAGCTGGCTAGAGCCATCCTGGACTGTTGGATAGCAAAGCAAGAAGACTGAAAAACTCTGAGCCCCTGACAAATCAATAGAGAAGAAATATCATACTATGCCAGGTTTTTCCATGAGGGAAGAAAGAAATACCTGTCTTGTGTAATCCACTCTTAATTTGGGTGTCTGCAATAAGAATATGATCTTTGTATACAATCCAGAGGCTATCGAGTGTGTCAGTTATTTTCAAATGTATCCATTAACCATTCAGAAGTAAAGAAGAATGAGAGAGGGAGGAGGGAAAAGAAGGAGAGAGTGGAGGTGGGGCAGAGATTTCTATCCAACATTGCCATCTGAAGCATTTTCTTGCTGAGCAACAAGGAGACCATTATATACCTAGGGAGGACGGTTATGATTGGTAAACTTCTCTTTCTTCACGTAAAGGACAACAGAAGCCAATGTGAGAAATCCCAGCAACTACTGAAGCCACTCTACCATGGGAGGGGAGATTCCTTCAGGCTCCCAGTTCCAAATCTTAGCACAGAGCTCATGAGAAGCCCCTATAAAGAGGCACCCTAGGTCCTCTTCTTCTGTCTTTTGGGAACTTATCCTCTCTCCTGGTTTTCCCAGGACCCCGATTCCTACAGCTACTTGCCAACAGTTTCCTTCTTTTTCTAGTTCACAGTAAGACTCTGCTAGACACTACAGTAGACAGAGGTCCAAAGTCCAAGAAATTAGGTGGGTTCAGAATGGACAAATGAAATTGAAAGATCAGGAGAAGAATCGCCTTTTTCCAGAAACTGCTATGGCTTCCCATTGCACAGAAGAGAGAATACTCATTCTCTAGCTTGACCTATGACTCACTCACCAGGTCCATTATCTGACTCTATCTCTCTATTTCAAAGTTTTTCATGTACATTATCTCAGGGATGTTTTATCACAGTCCTACTTTACTGGGAAAAAACACTGGATCACTGAGAAGTTAGATGACTTACCTGAGGTCACACAGAATGGAGCTGGAATGTTTTGCAGGTATCCAGACTCCAACTCCCATATGCTCCATTGTACCAGTATGTGCAGGAGCTCTGGGCAAAGACCTTGAATGTGGACAAGCAAGACCCATTAAAAAAATGTTCCAATGATCTGAGGTGAAAGAAAACTTTTTTAAACAGGACGTAGGGTATATAAAAATTTTTTTTATAAAATTATGAAGTACTATACAAAGATTACTTGTTATTAAATAGTTTTTACTAATAGGAAGCATGTTTATATACCTATGGCTACATACCATAGACTATGACTAAGTAGAATTAGCTGCTGTCTTGGATCCAAATCATTATTCTTTTCTGCCAAAGTAGGTAATTAAGAGCAAATTTTACAATTTAATAGTGTCTCTCTCTTATTTAGCAGGCTGGTGTCATCTTCTCATGGGACCAGTATTTGGAATAAGAGGACATCTAGATTAAGAGAAATATATCTATGTCATACCTCCGCCCTCACACACTCCTTCCCCCACTGGGTGGCTGCAGAGATGCTCTCTGTCTTAGGGAGGCCCAGGACCACCGACTCTAGCCTCTCTGTCATCTGGCCTCCCAGCTGCTGGACCTTCTCCTTCTGACACACAGCCAGCACCCTCAAGCCTTACAGGTCCAGCTGCCTGGCCAACAGGTTCCCGAAGCACGAGTCACACATAATAATTAAGCCATTGTTGTCTTGGACGTGGCCAACCCATCACCTGCCTCTTCTGGTACTGGTATGGAAGGTGGTAGAACCCTATGGGAGGATGGGGGGTGGAGTTTGTGGGGAGGGTGCTCCTCATTCTTCAGTAGAAGGAGAAATTCAGACCTCTTCTTCTCTGGCAAACTTAGAAGAGCTGGCATTTCTGTCCTTATTTTGAAAGGCTCTTGAAATTGCACAAGACAGGAGGTCACAAGATTTCTAAGGAGAGTCTCAATTCTGCCTTTGAAGCTGTTTACTGCCAGTTGTTGAAACTTGCCTCTATTAAAAACACACACACACATACACACACACACACACACACACACACACACACACACACACGACCTCCTTATACCTTCTGCTCCTCTGTTGGACATTACCAAAGGAACATTTTGTTTGTTGTTCCAAGTTTGACATTAAAATTCTCTGTATCCATTTGTTCTGGTCCAGATGCAGTATTTACACTTTTGTTGTTCAAGAATGTCTCAGACAGTCTGGCCAGGTGATAGTTCAGTGACCAGGCAGCCCCATGATACTCTGGATTGCGCTCTCTCCTCCCACCTCCCCCAGCTTCTGGGTTGAGGTTCTCTGGAGATCAGAGAGCTTGCCAAGCCTCGGGGGAAAGGCAGGGGAAAGTCCTGTAGAAGAGGAGACCTATGGATGACAGAGGTTCCTCTGCCTTCACAGGGAAAATGCTGGAAGAGAGGCTCAAGCAAGGCTGGTTAGAAGAGGTTAGGAGAGGTTTCCAAAGGTTCATGGGAACAGAAGCAAGTCACATCACAACTCCTGGCTAGAAAACACTGTTCCAAATGTGTGGGCCCAGAAATGTTCCCTGGGATGAATAAACAATGACACATTCAAAGATAGGATTTTAGAACTAGAAGGACCTGTTCTGCCAGTTGTTTATAGGGTATGTAATTATTCTCTCTGGGCCTCTAGTTTCCTCATTAAAACTGGAATACTATCTATGAAGGTTCTTGTGAAGATTAAAGTGCCTAGAACAGTGCTTGGCAGGTAGGAAGCACTATGTAAGTGTATGCTCTTGTGTGGGGGCTGGAATCCTGACTACCACTTGTTAGCTATATAATTTTGTGCAAATGACTTAATCTCTCCAAACCTTAGTTTCCTCCTCCATAAAATAGGGGTAACATCAAAGGGCTTGTTAGGAAGATTAAATTAAAATTAAAACACTAAGCGCTTAAAACACTGAATGCTTGGGATTGAGTAATGTCTGATAAATGTTAATTATTTCTATTTCTATTATTTTATTGGTATATTTCTCTCATCATATCTACTCTTGCTCCTCCTGTATCCCTCCAACCAGGTTCATTCCAACTAATTCCCCAATGGCAGCAAAAATGATCTTCTTTAAAAATAAGTAGCCTCAAGGGGAACCCTCTTGGAACACTCTTGGTGGGAATGCAAACTGATGCAGTCACTGTGGAAAACAGTATGTTGGTTCCTCACAACGTTAAAAATAGAACTACCCCATGACCCAGCAATTGCACTGCTAGGTGTTTATCCGAAGGATACAAAAATAGTGATTCAAAGGGACACATGCACCCCAATGTTTATAGCAGCAATGTCCAAAATAGCTAAAATATGGAAAGAGCATAGATGTCCATCGACAGATGAATGGATAGAGAAGATGTGGTATACATACACAATGGAATACTACTCAGCCAACAGAAAGAATGAAATCTTGCCATTTGCAGTGGTTCAGTCAGTTAAGCCTCCTCCCTTCTGCTCAGGTCATGATCCCGAGGTCCTGGGATCAAGCCCGTAGTAGGGTTCTCTGCTCAACAGGAAGTCTGCTTCTCCCTCTGCCCCTCCTCTTGCTTGTACTCTCTCTCACAAGCCCCGCCCCCATAAATAAATAAAATCCTCTTTTTAAAAGATAGTTTTTTAAAGATTTTATTTATTCATTTGCCAGAGAGAGAGAGCACAAGCAGGGGGAACAGCAGGCACTGAGCAGGGAGCCCAATGCTGGATTTGAACCAAGGACCCTGGGATCATGACCTGAGTTGAAGGCAAACGCTTAACTGGCTGAGCCACCCAGGCATCCCAAGTAAGTAAAATCTTAAAAAAAAGGAAAAGAAAAAGAAAAAAAAATCTTGCCATTTGCAATGATGTGGACAGAACTAGAGGGTATGATGCTGAGTGAAATAAGTCAGAGAAGGGGTGCCTGGGTGGCTCAGTTGATTGTCTGCCTTAGGCTCAGGTCATGATCCTGGAGTCCTGGGACAAAGCCCACACTGGGCTCCCTGCTCAGAGGAGAGTCTGCTTCTCTCTCTGACTCTTCCCCCTCTCATGCTCTCCCTCTCTCTCAAATAATAAAAAAAAAAGAAATAAGTCAAAGAAAGACAATTATCATATGATTTCATTCATACGTGGAACTGAAGAAACAAAACAAATGAACATAGGGGAGGGGGAGGAAAAAATAAGATAAAAACAAAGGGAGGCAAACCATAAGAAACTTTTAAGTATAGGAAACAAATTGAGGGGAGGGGATGGTGGGTGGGGGGTTGTGGTAACTGGGTGATGGGCATTAATTTTTTTAAGATTTTATTTTATTTTTTATTTATATTTATTTTAAGATTTTATTTATTTGAGAGGGCACTTGATATAATGAGCACTGGGTGTACATGCAACTGATGAATCACTAAATTCTACCCCTGGAACTAATTATACACTATATGTTAACTAAATTGGATGTAAATAAAAAATTTTTTAAAGGAAATGAATAAAAATAAGTAGCCTCAAAAGAAATCTATAGAGACAGCAGGCTCATCAATGGTTGTCTAGAGACTTGGCAGAAACCAGTGTTATTGAAAGGAGGGAAGATTTACCTCAAAGGGCACCAGGGAGGGCACCTGGTGGCTTGGTGGGTTAATCCTCTGCCTTCAGTTCAGGTCATGATCCCAGGGTCCTGGGATCGAGCCCCGAATCAGGCTCTCTGCTCAGCAGGGAGCCTGCTTCCCCCTCTCTCTCTGCTTGCCTCTCTGCCTACTTGTGATCTCTCTCTGTCAAATAAATTAAAAAAAAAAAATTAAAAAAAAAAAAAGAGGCACCAGGGAGCTTTTTGGGATGAGATAAATGTCCTATATCTTGGCATGGTGGTTGCACAGATATATTTATAAGTCAAAACTCATCAAACTTTATAGTCAAAAGGATGCATTTTGTTTAATATAAATTTTATCTCAATAACATTGGTTTAAAAAAAGGTAAACAACCTCCTTGGTCATCTATTAAATTACTAAATTTTCTCTGCTTAATGGCATTTATCAGTGTATAAAATTATTTCATTTATTTTTTTATTTGTGTATTGCCCAGCACCTCCACTCCATCAGGATATAAACTGCTTGAAGGCACGGACTCAGTCTTGTCTACTACTCTAACTCCAGCATCTAGAACTACACCTGGCACATAGTAGGAGCATAATAAATTCTTTTTTGACAGAGTAACTGATTAAAATCCTTCAATGGTTCTGCCTCCAAATTATATACTGATTTCATTCATTCTCATTATCCCTACAACCACCACTTTAACCTATAGTACCATTATTTCTTTCTTGGGCTATGCAATGGTCCCTTTGTTTCCACCATTGCTCCCTCATTTCAGTCTCCACAGAGCCCTTTCCAAAATTTATTTTTTTTAAATTTTTTAAAGATTTTATTTATTTATTTGACAGACTGAGATTACAAGTAGGCAGAGAGGCAGACAGAGAGAGAGGAGGAAGCAGGCTCCTTGCTGAGCAGAGAGCCCGATGTGGGGCTCAATCCCAGGACTCTGAGATCATGACCTGAGCCGAAGGCAGAGGCTTTAACCCACTGAGCCACCCAGGCGCACCCCCTTTCCAAAATTTAAATCAGATCATATTACTTCTATGCTTGAAATAAAAACAAAACAAAACAAAAACATGTGGAGATAATTTGATTAAGAAGTTGAGTAAGTGCAAAAAAAGGTAACTTAAAACTTCAGGAAAATACAAAAGCTATACAAGAAAAGTTATAATCCTAATATGAAAGAAACTAGACTGTAATCCTGGAGCAGATTTTATTTTATTTTTTAAAGATTTTATTTATTTATTTGACAGACAGAGATCACAAGCAGGCAGAGAGGCAGGCAGAGAGAGAGGGAGAAGCAGGCTCCCCACTAAGCAGAGTCCGATTCGGGGCTCGATCCCAGGACCCTGAGATCATGACCCGAGCCGAAGGCAGAGGCTTTAACCCACTGAGCCACCCAGGTGCCCCTGGAGCAGATTTTAATCTCAGCCCACAAATTTAAAAAAAGCAAACAAACACCTTAACCATTAATGATAGGGTGGGAGGCGGGGATAGCCCTTAGAGCAAAAAATCAAGTCTTCTGTATGCATAGATTACCACTTAAGTGTCTGCCATCCCAGTCTTTATATGCTCTTTATATACTCTTTATATCTGGTGAATCTCTACTGCCTTCCTGTTTTGGTGGGACACAGGTGTCTTACATGAAGTCACCCAGGGTCTCATCTACCTAAACACACAACGAAGCTGTCACTCTTTCGAGTCTTGCTACCTCCCCAAGGTTCTTCCACAAAGTGAATGGCCTTTCTTCCTCTGGAAGAGCCAAACCTCATTCGCTTATCAGCCAGAGTGAATCTCCTTGTCTTGGGGAAAGGGGCCTGCTTCTCTGAGACACTGTGTACATCCACAAGTCACATTCCCTTTTTTTATTTACCCAATTCCAGTGTTTTCTCTAAAAATATTAAGGTTGGAGGAAGAAACTAAAGGGGGAGAAGATGCAGGAAATGTATTTGTTCAAATATCTCACCCTAGGTAAAGCAGTACTAGATTATCTTCCTACCTGAGTAGGGAAAGGAGAAATGGGAAAACAGGGAACAATGAAC